GTGGCAAATTATTACTGACCTCGTTTTTCCTAATTCAGAGGGTTGTATTAGTTTAGTATTCAAAAATTTGTGCTTGGTCAAATTTTAAATTTAAATAATCTTGATATGATAAAATAGTTACTTATATCTTTGTTGTTTATTTGAAGGCTTCAGATAGTTTTCCAAGGCTGTTACCATTATTAAGAATGATTAATGTTATTTATGACATATTTGTTATTTTGTGCCTTATGGCATATTTGTAAAGATATTAAGTTTAGCATAATAACACAACTCTTGGAATTTGTCAATTTTAATTTTATGTTGACTAAAAACCACATGAAATATTACATTGATTATATTACAAGAAAGTAATAGTAAATGCTATTTTGGTGAATAGGAGTACTACATAGATTTTATATGGTCGAAATTATTTATTTTTTTAAATTTTTAACCCTGTTGTAGATGTTCCTTCATTCTCAACAGAAATTTAATATAAACCTAACTCTTGAATAAAAGTTTTAACACTATTGCAGTTTTTGCTATATAGACAACATTTAGTTCAATTGGGGTATTAAGATCTATCAAATCATGATTAGTTTTTGTTTCCTTATTAAAACATGGTAACAATCCTGATACATTTGGTGAGTTATTTTGTCATGTTTTTACTATTTTGATGGTATTTTAGTTTCAGATGATTAGATTAAAACTATATCTATGTGTTAAAAACAATATTATTGGCAAAACAACTAAAAGAATGTTTATGAAGACTGTATAGTGCAAACCAAAACAAACTAACTTAGCTCAATTACACATTTGGTACTAATCCCTATCTACTGAAATATATGGAACCTTTAATTATATTCAAAGCAGAATCAATTATCATGTTCTTTTTATTGAGTGCCTTTTCCATCTAGACATGACTAACATCAACTAAACTGTTGGTGGTTTAAAAATAAGTGCCTTTTAAAGAAAAGAAAAAATCCTTTTTTACTCATTAACTTTTTACTAAGTGTAAGAGAATGCATTAAAGTAATTGAGTCACCTTTAATTGATTTTTAATTGATGTCAAAGGTGTCTATTGTTTTCAATTGGTATGTAAAAAGTATTTTCAAATGGTATGTAAAAAGTGTTTTCAAATGGTGTGTAAAAAGTGGAATTCCAACACGAGCAATACTTGTATTGTTTATTTAATTAGTAAATTTGTTACTCTTATTTTTTTCATTCTATCACCCAGTTTTGTAAAAGATTTTTTTTTGTTTTGAAAAACACACTTCTGATATATAAGTATTTTCTCCATGATTATATTTTGATCAATGTGCAAGTATAAATACATACTTTTTTTAAAAATATATTCATTTCCAACAAGGTTGCCAGCAACTAATATTAGAGTTTGAAGTTACTGGAATAGAAAAGATGAAGTTTAAAAGGTTAAGATAACCATTAACAGGTGATTTAAAAAATTGCAAATTATATGTATCAGGAAAACAAGATGAAGTGAGCCAATTCCAAAGAAGTGATGTTCGAGGAAAATAGTTAAATAAATAAGAATTTTTGGAGTATTTAGGAATAGTCACAGTAAAGGGATGAGACTTAATTGAATGACAAGTAACACGATGATAAATTTTAGTAGATGGCATAAGAGACGCTAGGTCTTTTTTTTTGACGAAAACAGTAAGTTTGATTATTAAACTTCTAAATTATTGAAAACTTTTTCTGTATTGAATTATTGAAATATTCAAAGACATTTAAAGTGATATGTAAGATAATATGCATATGTAAGAAATATTTTTAACTTTACTTTTAGTTGTTTTACAGTTCAATTTAGTTATACCATGTCAATTGTAAATGGATCGAAAGCATGGCAGTATTTTTGTAAAAAAAAATCTGGCGAATCTGCAATTTGCAAAAAGTTCAATGTAAAGATAATGTGCCATTGATTTTTGACAAGTGGGCTCCTATGTCATTTAAAAAATGCACATAAAGATTTGGATTTAAATATGAAGCGCCTACTTGAAGATACTGTTTTGGAAATTAAAATTGTGCAAAAGAAAATCACATTGTTTGTTATCGAGGAAATTGTGTCAAAGCTAGTAACGGAGGATGGCTTCTCAATAAATGCCATAACAAAAAGTGAATTCATTAAAAAATCATTGTCTGAAAAAGGCATGTTATTACCAAAAAATCCATCCCATGTTATGAGTATGATATAAAAATAATATTTAGCTAAACAAACTGATTTGGGTGATAACAAAAAATATATCTAGCGGGTCGCCATTTTCTTTTAAGTGGGCATAACACAGCTAAGTAGTATTGAACATCAGCTGTGTTATGCCAATGGACTTCATTTGGAAATATTTGATGTTCTTTACAAAAAGTCAGACTCTTCAGCAAAATATATTAAATTTGAATTGCAGTTTCAATATTCCGATGAAAATTAGAGTGATTACGATGAGTTTGATGTAATGAGTCATACATCTCTGATGTATGACTCATTACATCAATTGATGTATTTGACTGTAATGAGTCATACATCTCAACTGGCGTTATGTTTATTGATGATTTACAAAATAGTGTAAATATAGCCTTAACAAATCAGAAGGTTCGAAAAGTGGTTTGAATGTTCTGCAAATCACCTCTTCAAAATGAAGTTTTACAAATGTAAGTAAAATCTATGTTTCATAAAGAACTTAAGCTGATATAAGATGTTAAAACTAGATGGAATAGTCTTGTTGCAATGCTAGAAAGATTCCTTAAAGTAAAAACATGTATACTAAAAGCAATGATTGATTTAAAAAAGGGTTCTGAATATATCCGAAGATGAATATGCAATTACAAACAATATAACAATTTCTCTACAACCGATAAAAGTTGGAATAGAAAGACTTGGTAGAAGTAATGCTACTCTACTTGACGCAGAAGGTGTAATGATATTTATCTTATACGATTTGGCAGAGAAAGAAAACTTTATAGCTAATAAACTGCTTTAATCTGTGCAGCAGAGAATTGAAGAACGCAGAAATGCCAATTAAATTAGACTATTTAAATTCTTAAACAACCCAATTAGTTATAATCAGGAATCAAATATCAACTCCAAACTACTCTTACCATCCAAACATACATTAAAAGCAACAACAACAAAAAATAGCAGGTTGTGCATAGAGGATGCTAGCACTAGTTTATCAAATAATAAAATAGTTGAAGTGAGTCGTGATAATGATATATAATAATTTCTGACCCATCAATACCTCAACCTGTTGCTCCAAATTTATTAGGCAAAAGTATTTTGACACTTGAACAAAAATTGGATGCAACTATTTGTAATGTCAAACAAGTAAAAAAAGCAGCTCTAGCAAACATTAGCAATTTAAAAAACCTCTCAAAAAAGACTTGGTTTGATCAATTTTCAGACACTTGACTTCCTGGCTACCAACTCCATATCAAAAACTGGGAAAGCAGAGGAGGTGGTGTAGCCATCTACATAAAAAATAATATCCCAGTGATTAAATCAACTCAACTCAACAGATATCGAACAAGTGCGGCGAGTGATAACGGTAGTCAATGAATCTATCTTATTAGGCTGCATATACCATCCATATGATAATGACGTGGGAGTTCTAGAACAAATGATCAAATGGATTGATTCAGCAAAGCTTATCAACACTAGGCTGCTCATCTATCCTAACAAACATCCAACTGACATTAAATTTCAGCAATGTTTAAACAAAGCCATTCTTATGCAAATGGTCGTTTTCATCACTCACCGCAAAAATAGAGAAGAAAGACCATCAAGCACACTAGGTTTTTTAATCACCAATGAATCTGACTGCATAGATGATCTACATAAAAGTAATTTGCTTAAAAAAACAAAAACAGAGGATGGTTATTAGCAATAGTATGTCTAAATGGGTAAATGTTACTAGCTGAGTTCCACAAGGTTCAGTGTTAGGTCTACTTCTGTTTCTGATAAATATAAACAACCTTCCAGACATCATGGCGAATCATATAAAGATTTACGCCAATGATGGTGAGATCTTAGGGGTCATCAAAACAGAAGATGATGCAATAATACTACAACTAGATATAGATCATACAGTCGAATGGTCTAAGAAGTGGCTCTTATTTTTCAATCTTGAAAAATTTAAAGTCATGCATGCTGGTTATACAAATAATTCAGTGCACCTTTACTCAATGCTTGACATAGACAACAATTGAATAGAACTTGGATAAACAAACATTAAACGTGACTTAGGTACCCTAATAACAAATAACCTAAAGGTTAAGCATCAAGTAGAAGCTGCAGCAGCTAGATCAAATAAAGTACATGGTAGGCTAAAAAAAATAATTTCACACTAGAAGAATAATGTTATGGAGAGTACTCTACACAACATACATTAGACCTCATCTTAAGTATGCTATCCAAACCTGGTCTCCTCACCTAAAAAGTGACATAAAAACACTTGAACGCATTCAACAGCAAGCAACCAAAACAATATTTCAATTTTTGCTTTTGTTTTTTGAATTTTCATGTTAAATTTTTCTATACAATGTTCTTATATCTGAAGATATTGTTGGCTTAGCATAAGAACAGCCACAAATAGTCATTAAGACTAATCCAAAGTAGCGTCCGCTATTGACCAACATTTTTGGCTTACCGAAGTACTACTCAAGCGTTGAGTTGGCGGTGGCAGGATTTGAACTCATATCTTACAACAGTCCAGGTTTTAACTTTTTGTTCGATGCTCTTACCAACTGAGCTATCCAGCCATAAATCTTTTCTATTAATTTTTCCTACAATTATTTGGGATAATAATGTAAAATTGAATAATAAGCAAGATAAAGCATAAAAATTATGAGGATAAACTGGCGATACTCAATCTTATCACTCTAGAAAAGTGATGAAAAAGGAGCCACCTGATTCTATAGTAGAAAATTACAAATGGAATAGAAAAAGTCGACTTGTAGTTCTGCAAGTATTGCTATCAGAGTATTATATATATATATATATATATATATATATATATATATATATATATATATATATATATATATATATATATATATATATATATATATATATATATATATATATATATATTATATATATATATTATATATATATATATATATATATATTATATATTTTATATTTTATATATTATATATTATATATATATATATATATATATATATATATATATATATATATATATATATATATATACAGTTGACTCTTGATATCTATATTATATATATATATATATATACATATATATATATATATATATATATATATATATATATATATATATATATATATATATATATATATACAGTTGACTCTTGATATCTAAGGGGACCGGGAAAAAAGTTTGAGATATCGAGAGTTCGAGATATCAAGAAAAGGGTTGAAAATAAATAAAATTGCCCAACTTTCATTAAAACAAGTTATTTTTCTGAAAAAAATCATTAACAACAAAAACTACAACTTTTGGAAAAAATCTGTTATCTGATATTGCTTTAAGTTATCCATCTTTTCCATCTTCATTAAATCCTCAAGTTTTAGTGCTAGGGATTGTATTTCATTTCCATATTTTGAGCTGTATAGCGAAGCATTTTGAATTGTTTCAAAAGCAATTTCTAATTGAATATCAAATGGGCGTGGCGGGGCTTCGACGTCTATAGCTTCGTCAACGTTATCTTCAACTTCATTATCGTCGTTTTCAAAATTAGGGTTTAAAATCACAATCTAAACTGATGTAAGATTCCGCTAAGAGATCTTCTTGGACGGCACGAGGATCTAACTCTCGCAAACGGTTAAGTTCTTCTGTCAAAAATTTAAAAGGATGATCATCAGCTTCTTCAATACTCTTGTTTGTTTGGTTATACCAACTTTTTTAAAGCAGTTAATGACAGTCTCCTTCGACACAGCATTCCACGAAGAAACAAGATCTTTCATTGCTTGAAGTATAGAAATTTTTGGCATGGGTTTGTTATTATCTACAGCCTTGATACACAAACGCACAATTTTGTGACGATAATGAGCTTTAAGACTTCGTATTACGCCTTGATCCATGGGCTGAAGGACAGATGTGGTGTTAGGGGGGAAAAATATTAGGTTGATGTTGCTTAGCCCTTCAATGTGTGGGTGAGCAGAACAGTTATTCACCAGGAGTGCTACTTTCCTGTCTTGAGCATGAAAAAATGAGTCAAATTTCATTACCCATTCTGTAAAAAGGTCTCCGGTCATCCAACTTTTTAGCTGATTTTTATATGTGCAAGGAAGTTGTTTAATGTGCTTAAAACACCGTGGGTTTTTAGATTTTTCAATAACAAACATAGATAATTTTTCTCCCATTGAGCTCCCTGCTGCTATGCCTATTAGTCTGACTTTACTATTTTTTTTCCCCAAAACATTTTTCTCGTGATAAATGGTATGTTTTGTTTGGTAGGCACTGGTAAAATAGTCCAAACTCATCGGCATTGAAAATGTTTTCAAGTTTGTAATTCTAAAGCAATGTTGGAAGTGTAGTTTCATTCCACGAAGCAGTCATATTATTCGTCACGGCGGCACTTTCACCTGAGATTATTTTGAAGTTGATGCCGTTCCTAAAAATAGGAACAGAATAATTGAATTTTAATTACACGTTTAAAAAACTAAATAAATTAAATATAAACAGATACATGTTATTTATTTATATTAAAATTGAACAAGATTCGACAAAATTTAACTGACCTTTCTTTCCAATTATGAAACCAACAATCAGATGCTTTAAAATTCAACTCTCCTAATGCTTCTGCGAATTTTAGTGCCTTTTCTTTTAGTATGGTACCATCAATTGGTGCTTGTTGACTTCTTTTTGCAACGAACCACATGTATATGGCCTTGTCTACATTTTTGAAATTACCACTACGAAGTTTCTTCTGTTTAGATTTTGTGCCATTTTTTTCCAGTGAGATTAATAACTTGGTTTTATTTTTAATCCAGGTTGATAATGTGTTTTTTGGGACTCCATACTTTTTGGCAACCTCTTTGTTAGACATCCCTGTCTCTAGGTAAAAAGATTTGTTTGTGAGTTTTCGTTTAACAAGCGGCATGTTGTTGTGTTTGACAAAAAGAATAAATTAATATATTAAAGGAAAACTTTTCAGAAATTCGATTCTTAAAAAAAATCGAATTTAAAAATCGAATTAAAAAATTTTTTTTTTCGAAAATTGGAATTAAAAAAAAATTAAATTTTATTAAAACATTTTTGAAAAAAAAAATGTTGAAAAGTTCGAGATAACGAGAGAAAATTGCCCTGTGGGCCGAAAATATTGTTCGTAATACCAAAAAGTTCGAGATATTAAGGTTCGAGATATCGAGAAGATTTTAGCCTAAACTAGCCTAATTATTTTAATAACAGTTGAAATTTATTAGTTTTTGAGTTCAAACTTTTCAGCAAGTAGTTGTTACGACGTTGCAAAGGAGAAATCATGAATGGTTGATTGATAATAAGTAATTTATTAATTTTTTAAAAACTATTATTGCTGCACCGTATGAATATAGCTCATAAAAGAGACCAGAATTTTTTCATTTGTTTTTTTTTAAGTTTTAATATTGCTACATATAAAAATATATTTTTTTTGGTTATTGCAGCTCAAAAATAAGCTGGTAAATGACAAGACCAATATATCTTTTAGTTGTCAAAAGAAATATTTTGGATTTGATTAAAAAGTGCTAATAGATAGATAAACAATTTTAAGAAAAATTAAATCAAGGTCAAAACTGCCTTGTGATGAATCAGAATAAGCTGAGTGCAGATGCAAAAAAATATTTTAGAAAAAAGCTCTATTGAGTTTTTGTTATTTTTAATATAATTTATTTTTAAATTTTTAAGTTTTAAATTCTTTTTTTTTAATGCAAGAAAATGTTTAGTTTTAACAAAAATTTTAGTATTGAATTTTACACTTATTTCATTTTAGTAGTCTTTAAATTAAAATGATTTAATTTTAGATATAGTACAACTGATACAGTAAAACGATTTCAAGAACGAGGTGAAGAAGATTTTCAAAAAAAAAGTCAAGAAAACGAATCATTAAGAAAAAAACAAAGTACCCAAAATGAAGTTCTTCAAAATTATGTACCTTTATTGAGCAAACCTGTATCAAATTTACCAAGTTCAACTGTTTCATCTTTTAACATAAATCAACAGCCTCCCAAGGCAAACACAGCTTTGGTTTATCCTTCTTTAAGAAATGGCTTTCCAATTATCTGTTCTATAGCTTCTCTGGTTGGTTCACCCAATCAAAAAAGTTTATCTATAGCTGTATGTCTTTCTTTTTTTTCCTTAAATAAATAAAGAATTTTGTTTAAAAGTTAAATATTTAATATTTTTATTAATTAAGAATTATTATGTAATTAAATACATTTATAGTACATTTTAGTTGAAAATTTTATACTTAGGTATTTTAATGAAAGAGTTTTATATTTAAGTATTTTAATGAAAAAATTTTATTACTTGACTATTTTAAAGTAGTATAAATTTAAAGTATAGGGTTTTTAACATTTTAAACAATTTTGTTATAGCATGATGTTAAAAGAGAAGAGAAATCTTTAGAAGTTAAACAAGAATCATTATTAAGGTAATTTTAGCTAAGGCTGAGATATTTTGTTCATTTTTGCAAAGGTGCATGCCAAAATGCTGAAGTTGTTTGTTATACCACAGAGTATTTATATACGTTATCATTTTTAATCCAAACTTTGAAACTCTGACCCATCTTCATTAGATTCTAGTATGATTAGCAAGCACTTTTTTTTTAATTAACATAATATTACAAATATTTTATCTTGAGAAAAATTTATTTTCTGACAATCAATAAGATTGATTTTGATCCTCTCATTCTTCTTTTAGTTTGTTATTAAGTTCTTGCTCATTGCTCATTTTTGTGTATCTTGATATATTGCAATATATGTATGCAACATCTCTACTGTACTTGCTGTGAGTTACTTTAAAAACAGGTTAATTTAAAATTGTTTAAGAAATTGAAAACAAAAAGATTTTGTCTCTGTAATACTTTTTGAAAAAAGTTTAAATTAAAACTGCTGACCATACATGATACTTGATTTATAACAATATAAAAACATTTTGTGTAATTGGAACATTCTAGTTATCTGCTCTATTACTTCTACATTAAATTAATATTAACTGAAACATAGTTTTATTATTATTTAAAAAACATTTCATGAAAAAAGAAATGTTTTTAAAATAAATTTCAAAACGTTTTTTCTTCGAATTAAAAATTTATATAAAATTTCATATTAAACTTTAGTTAATATGAATTTTTATTAATTCAGAAGGTTTTTTTAATATTTCTTAAAATATTCTCCTTTATTTGAAATGTTAATCTATTTGAAAGGTGAGCTGTAATTTAGTAATACAATTTTTTTTTTTTAATTCTAAATCATTAATTTATTCAAGTCATTTATTCGATTTTATTTTCTATTACAGTATAGGAACAAAAAGAATGCCGATAGCACTTTCAGACAGTGACGATGATACTGCTCCCCACCCCACAAAGATTGTATGCAAAAGTTCTATAGATGAACAACTAACAAAAAGATTATTTCAAATACCGGAAAAATTACTTGAAGGCATTGATGAAGACATCATTGAAGATATGATATCTCAAAGCATTGAAAGTCTTGGAGTAACATTAGCCACAAGAAGCCAAAGACTTCGTAATCTTAAAAAAAAAGTTTATAATTGTTTTAAAACTTTATTGAATGATTTTAAAGTTCCAAATGATGTCAAAGATATTGATGATAAAATTATTGAAGAAATCTTGGAGCAGATTATTCAAGTCAGTTCGGAAAGTTAATATATCTTTCTTTAAAACTGAGAAAGCCCTTAAACTAATCTCAATCCTTAAAACTAATGGAAATATCTCTTAATTTATATAAGTTGTATATAGTTATGTTTTTTAAACAAAAATTATGTTATTCTCTTTTTTTTTTGCAAGTTTGCAATTTCTTGTTTTTTTTTACAGTTGATTAGCTTTTTATTGTTAGTATCTACATATGGGCCAATATATGTAGATACTAACAAAATCTTGGCTATGAACTAAATTGATTTGTTCTAGGCAAAACCAATAATTTAGATTTATAGTGCTAAGTGTTTGTTAGGGTAGAAAATAAATCCCAGTATTTGGTAAGTTGTCATAGTGATTAGTAATAAATGATTTTCTTTTATAACATAAAAGAACGTTAAATTACAATATCAATATGTTAGTGATTTTCTACATTACTGTTCCTATTATACAATGTTGTGATGCTAAAGAGTTGCTTGACTTCATCTGCATAAAAGTTGGTTAGCAAAACTACTCGCGATTAAAACAAGATTTAACTCCTGCTAAAAATTACTTTCCTTTGAAAAAAATAGATTAAAATGTTATTTAAACCTGATTATATTATTTTTTCTTATATATATGGCATTTTTCTAATAATGATAATTGATTTTTAAAACAAATTTTTACTTCAAAAAGAAACTCATTTAATTTAATGTTAAAAAAAGAAAAGAAATTAAAATGTGCATATCCAAATTTTTTGTATTTTATGTTTTGTTAAAATCTGGCACAACATTTATAGATCAAAAATTAATAAGATTGATTAAAAATAAAAACATTTTTTATTTTGCAGCACAAAATTGGATATTTGAAATTTTCTTTAAAATGTCAGATAAACTGAAATTTAAAAAGATTTGCCTAAAAGTGCAGTATTTAGTTTTAAAATATTGTTTTGTAAAAAGCAACAAACAAAACAAAATATTTAATATTTTATTTTGCTTATTGTTATAAAAACTTTTCCATGTTACTATACTTTTAAAGACTTTTCCATGTTATTTTAAAAAAGTAAATATGTTATAGTTTATTTTAAATATGTTAAAAATTCAACTAATCATAAAATAGTTTTTATGATTAGTTGAATTTTTTATTTTGATATTTTAGTTGTATATTTTTTTCTATTTTGAATTTCATATTTCTAATAAAGGTATTTTACTTCTTTTTTGCAGCATTTTAATATACTCACTAATTTTTTTAATTTTAGTATATACTCAATAAATTTTTTAATTATAATAATATACTAAATAAATGTAAAAATACTCAATAAATTGTGAATCAAACTATGATAAATCCCTATTTTTGCAGTTGCTTAACTTTCTTTATATGTTAGCAAATAATATGTGGGTTTTCATTTTTATATGTTAGCAAATAATATGTGGGTTTTCATTTTTATATGTTAGCAAATAATATGTGCGTTTTCATTTTTTTCAGTTCATATATAAAATAAATATGATTTGTATGATGTTCAATTAAGGAAAATGATCAATCCTACTAAAGCAAAAGTTTTGCAGCTATACAGGCAGGTATCAAGGTTTTATACTTAGTATACAATGTAAAATTTGTTTATACAATTTACTAATGTGTGTCTGTTTATAAATAGCCGTGTGAATTTGAAAGCCTAAGCTTCAAATATCAAGGCCATCAACATAAAAATACAAAGGATAAAAATGTACTTTTTACTTTAGTAAAGTGCCCTATTGTTTTTGCTTCTAACCAAATAATATGTTTTTTAATTACAAAATGTAATTAAAAAATTTCCAAATATTATTTTTTTTTAACTTGATTAGTAGTTTAACTGGATTATGAAATTATCTATTTTAGACAATAGTTTGAAATCAGTTTTTGAAAACATCTTTATTGTTTTATCACAGAGCCAATCTAAATATATTTTGAGAACCATTAGTACATCAAGTTTTAATAGAGAACCAGCTTTCATAAATGATGGATGTAAGGTTTTAAATTTTGCATCAAAATGTTGTAAGTTATGCACTATGTATCTTCAGTTTGTCAACCATTTTACCACACCATCCGGAAAAATATGGAACATTAAAACATCAATGTTATGTAATTTTGTAATGTTTGTTTTCTATTATGTAATGAATGTGATGGAAAAACAACAGCTTCATTGTTTATAGTTTATTCTTATTCATAGTTCATAGGAAGAATTATTAATCTAAGATTTAAAACTAATTTACATATTTATAAAAATGAACCTTTTAAGTTATTTTTATTTTAAATCTAATGAGAAATTACTTCTTTTATATGAAGCTCACTTGTTATAATAGGGGCGTGACACAATTGACATAAAGAACAATTATTTTCTCATTTCACTTTTTTGTTTTCCATAAGAATCAAGTTCTATCTTGTGATTGCTTAAAATAGTTTTTTTGTTGTAAAAATTTTTATTATTTTCTTTTTAAACTTTTATAGGAAGTTCAACATTAAAGGTTTTTACAAGTTTGTAAATTTTATATACAGCTGAAGATTTTAAGTGAACAGCCTTATATTTGTTTAAAATATTTCATAACACAGGCAGCATTTACATTACGTAATTTTTTTTTTTAATTTTGTTGTTGTTTGATCTAGTAGAAGTTATGCTTAACATTAAATTTATTTAAATATAAATATAATGTAAAGCATATTTTTTTCCATTATTATTTTTTTCATTATTAAGTGATGAAGATTAAATAATTAAAAAAAAACGAATTTTTTAAACCACATTCCTATCGTTGTAACATTTGTCATATTTTATTTGTTTTATGTCATGTCTAACATAAAAGTACACGTACATAAAAGTACATACACATGTATAAAGATACATATATATATAAAGATACATACAGTTCAGAAAACTAAATATAACTTAAAAGAAAACTTTTATTATTTTACTTTCTATATGTGATAAAGTTTGATTTTAGTTAATATTTTTTCAGTAACTAATTAAATAAAAAGAAAGTTATAATATATTAAAATGCCATCAAAAGATTAGATGAAGCTTATCTATTTCTTGAGATAAAGCAGACCTATTTCTTATAGAAAAGGTTAAAGAAAATCTTACTTACAATTTGTTGCAGTTAGTGAATAAACTTGAAAAAGTAAACAATTGCAGTAGACTATAAAACTAGTTTAAGTATACATTTTTAATGTTTGTAATGCTGTTTTTTGTTACAAATCTTAATTTATTTCACAAGGTTACTACATTTAAATGTTTCTTAATAGAAATTGATTAATAAATCAAGAAATAAGGAGAAAAAATCAAAGTATCGAACAAATATAAAAACAAAGTTTTTTCTTTTTTGTATTGAACAAAAAAAGGAAAGAAAAAATTGCAACAAAAAAATCTGATTAGGTAAGGAACTAATATTTTCAGAAATTAATTATATGGTTTTTTAATTTTTTAACATAAGTGTTTTACTAAATTGAATGCAATAATAGTACAAAAAAACTTAAAAAATATATTTATTTCTTTATTCTTTTGATCTTTATTGCTCAAATAATGTAACAAATTATAATTATTGTATTTACATTTCTTTCGTTCGGTTTCAAACAACAACAAAAATTTAAAAAAGTCTAATTTGCATAATGAGTTAGTCCACCCAAATGAATTGCAAAAAAATGCAAAGGGAAGTTATGGAGTGGTCCAATCATGAAAAAATATATATATATATGTATTTACCCACCACCACCACTCAACCTATCCTCGTTTAGTCTAGGACAGGTAGTATAAAATACCATAATTTTTATATTACAACATAATTTTTTAAAGCTTGATTATGTAGGTGATTTAATTTGATATTTTTCTGTTTACCCATAACAAGATTTTGCGAAGAGGTTATATCTAACCTTAATATCAAGTAGGTTTAATAATAAAAACGGCATCATATAATTTTTTGGAAGCCAGTTTATACATACATACATGCATACATAAATACATACATACATACATACATACATACATACATACATACATACATACATACATACATACATACATACATACATACATACATATATACATACATATATACATAAATTTTGCTTCTTGTTTTAGAGTAAATAAAGTTGCTTTTTGTTTAGAGCGGTTTTTCAAGTTTAAATAAAAAAGTCTTTTTTAACTGGAGGTTAAAGTAATAATAAATAAACAATATTTAATTAGAAGGCTCAACGGACATTTATTAAACAATAAAAAAAGTTTTTAAATTTTTATTTTTTTTTATTATAAATGCAAAATATTAGTTTCTTTACTTATAACAATTTTTGGACGTACCCACAATAGTACACCCTAAGTAAAATCTTAGTCAAAATCTATTGTTTTGCGATAATCAGGAGGTGAAATATATTTTAATAGTTAATATGTGTCAAAATAAAACAATGAACGATGTTACTTGAATTTTCATTTCAGCTCTTATACCATTTAAATTTATGTACCTAACATTATTTTTTTCTATAATTGGATTTTTTATTTAGTTTAGTTTTCAATATTTAAACATTTCCGTGTTTATGCTGGTGATAAAATTCTTCAAGATTAACTTAGATATTATCAAAAAAAAAAAATACTTCTTACATATCTAAGACACTATATCATTTGGTAAAAAAGTGTTTTGGAAAAGTTACTAATGACAAAATAGTTTTAAAATTGAAAACATTTTTCTATTTTTGCTGATGAAGCTTCTGACAGTTAAAGTAAAGAACAACTATTATTAATTATATGGTTTGTTGGTTCAAAGTTCAATAAGAGAATTTATCAGTTTCTTAGATTGCACAAATGGTGTTACTAGTAAGGATTAATTTATTTTTTGGTAAAAAGTATTTCAGATTCCTTTTTATATATCATAAACTGCAGAGTTTATTGATATGATAATTCTAGAGCAGTTGATGGTTTGTCTTCTTGTATTTTAAATCTGAATGAAAAAGCTGCATATGCTCATTGCAACAGTCATAGACTTAATTTAGTTATTTGTGCCTCATACAAAGTGCAATATGTCAAGTATCTTTTTGGCACTGTCATGTTTTTGCAATATGGCAAGTATCTTTTTTGGCACACTTTAATGAGGTATCATACTTTTTAAACTTGTACGTACCAGGCAACAAATGTTACAGAAGTATATTAAAGGTACCATTCCATTAGCTAATGAAAAAACAGTTAAAACATGTTTTAACTGTTTTTTCATTAGCCTTTACCACCCAACATGTTTTTGTAAAACATGTTGGGTGGTAAAGGTTAACTTTTTTTTGGATAGTTCTCAAGAACTTTGTGCTAGTTCCTACAAAAATGATTTCAAAAGTTCAATTATATCTTTTAGTAACTTTTATGAAACAGGTCTACTGAATTCCCATGCTTTAACCTTGTGAGCTTTATTTATGTAAAGCCTTTTAGTTAAATTTAAAAAGGTAGTTTTAATATTAATATTACTGAGTTGATATTAATATTACTGAAGTTTTCATGGTTGTGAAAGCATTAAAAATTTACATGCTACTTTTCCATTAACTTCATGTAAATGTGAGTGGACATGTTATTCATTTTGGTGCCTAAAATATATATGTTAAGCACCATTGTACAGTGCCAAACAATAACAAAACCGATTTGGTGTTATCATTATTTATATATAAAATGCTAAGTTGTATTTGTTATTTTGGCAAAGGCTTTTGTTTTTTTAATTGATTTTTTCAGTTTTTATTTATTTACAAGCAAGATTTAATAAAATAAAGGTTTCAAAAATTTTTTTTTAACAAAATGTGGCATTAAGAATGCATCTCTAAATACCTCTTTATATAATTTAAAATTGCATATTATAATATAAAAATATTTTATTATAATTTAAGTTATTTTATATACTTAATAAAAATAAAATTTTGCATTGTTTAATTTATTTTATTAATGAAATATGAAAATATAGTTTTTAATTATAGATCTGTAAATAATGTGTAAATATATAATTTTATAATCTAAAAGTATTGTGCCTCGGTGATAACCTTGCATATTTTTAATTGAAGAAAGGCTCTTAATATGTTAATATATATATATATATATATATATATATATATATATATATATATATATATATATATATATATATATATATATATATATATATATATATATATATATATATGTATATATTTATTTATGTGGGCTAATTGGTCAATTTTTGAAATCACTCCCTATCCACTCTTATCCACTCTTAAAGGGGAAGGGGCAGGGCTGTCCTGAAGAGGTCTTCCATGGGGGGTGAAAAAAAAAAACTCCCCCACCAGTGCAGATGAAAATTTAGTCCCAGCTGTCTAAAAATGCAAAAAAATTTAAGTTTTTGCATTTAGAGTAGGGGTAGGATCACTTAACAAAATTTTAAAAATACCATGAGAGTTATTTTCGTAGTTTGATCTATCTATTTTTAGATTATGTTTTGTTTTTTGGTGAAAATGATGGGAAGAGTTGATCTTAACCATTTGCAATCATGTGTGTTTGAGAGGTTGGGGGGGGTTATTATGTACATTAAATATAAAACATTTTTGTAATTGTACATTTTTTATTTAAAGAAAGACTATTTTATAGTTTTTATCCAAGATTTTTTATCAGTTGTTTTAAATTTTAAACAATTATAAGCTAAAACAATTAAGTTTGCTTCTCCGTCTTCTTTTGTTTTTAAACGTTTCAATGGGTTGTTAAGAGTGCAAGGAGAAGGGGAGGAATCAAAAAAAAATTTTGTGAAGTTATTTTTAATTTTTTTGTAAGGGGGCATCCATAAAGTACATACGCAGTAAAACCTCTAATTTAGGAAACCCTCTTCCCCCTCCCCTCTTTTACGAACCTGTATGCTTTTGAAGACACCCCCTTCCCTTGCGTACAAACGCATTATTTATTTTTTCAAAATTAACTTGATTTCTTTTTTCTCTCCTCATTATTTATAAAGAAATTAAAAAAAATTGTGACTGAAGTCAGAAAAAAAAGCACATTTCTGATTTGTTAAACACATTAAAATTAAATGTTAAAAATCAAGTTTAAAAGAGATAGTCAAACCGCGTTCGTGTTCACTGTCTTCAACACCCCCTTCCCCTTTGTATGCGTTCGTATGTAGGGGAGGGACCCCTTTCACCCACCCACCTCCCAAAAAAAAATTTCCCATGTGCATACTATATATACCATTATTAGGTGAAGAAAATACTGACTAATATATCAGATGTTAACTATATTATAGTAAAATGCTTATAATTTTACAATTCAGTCCAAATTTAAATTGGACTGAATTGGACTTAATAATATAATAATATGTTTTTATGATAAAAATATCAATATACAAATGTTTTTAGTTGCAATATCTTTTCATAAATTCTTTTACTTTTGATATTCCATTTAGAGGCAAGAATGTTGACTTAAAAAGCATAAGGCAAAAATGTGGTTTTAAAAGAGGAAGATTTATTTAATGAAAAATAAAAAAACTCATCATCTTGAAAGATAAAACACAAGTTTTAAAAAGTAGACAAGAAGATGTAAATTTTCTCAATGATCAGAAAGGATTGCATGTTCAAAGAAAGTCGCGCAAAAAATTTTTGAAAAATAGAAAGTGAAGTAAGAAAAAAATTTAAAGGTTATAACAGTCCATTAGGAAACAGAAAGGGTTGTATGTTCAAAAAATGTCGCGCAAAAAAATTTTGCAAAATAGAAAGTGAAGTAAGAAAAAAATTTAAAGGTTATAACAGTCCATTAGGAAACAAACAAGGTTGGTTAGTAAAAAATTTGAGGAGACAATAAAATGTTTAGATACTTGCAATAATGGGGATAATAAGATAGACAGTATCTCCATCCTTTTAGAAAATTTAAAAAGTATATTGTTCCTAAATTTATTCATCCGTAAAGTAATTTCATAAATTAGCTCTTGAATTAGCTAAAAACAGAAAAGTCTGCAAGTTATAAAACAATTAAAGATTTTTTGGACCTGAAAACTGATTTTTTTTTATTTTATCTAAAATGTTATTTGTTAAAAATGACATTACTTCAGATAGAATGGCTGAAAACCAGTTCATCAAACTGAAACTTATTGCGGCTATAATAATAAAGTTGTTATTAATTTTTTTTAGTTGCTTTGCTATGTGTATATATCGCTATATATTATTATACTTATTTCCAGGTTATAAAAGATTTTTAAAAAATTTGTCACTGGTCTTTCTGTTCTACATTGCAGTGCAGAACGTGCTTCTAACTCTAGTCAAGACCTCATTGAAACTTTTAGAAGCTAAAGTAGATGGAGAAGCAAACTTAATGGTTGTAGCTTATAATTGTTTAAAATTTAAAACAGCTGATAAAAAAATCTTGGATAAAAACTATAAAATAGTCTTTCTTTAAATAAAAAATGTACAATTACAAAAATGTTTTATATTTAATGTACATAATAACCCTCCCCCAACCTCTCAAACACACATGATTGCAAATGGTTAAGATCACTTTTCCCATCATTTTTACCAAAAAACAAAACATAATCTAAAAATAGATCAACCTACGAAAATAACTCTCATGGTATTTTTGAAATTGTGAAAAAGTGACCCTGCCCCTACTATAAATGCAAAAACTTAAATTTTTTGCATTTTTAGACAGCTGGGACCAAATTTTCATCTGCACTGGTGGGGAGGTTTTTTTTCGATTTGGAAAAAAGTATTATTATTTTAAGTTAATACAAGTAAAAGTTCATTTTTTGCCGCTATGCCATTTACGAAAAAATGAAATATGTTTTTTAGTCATACCCCTAATATATATATATATATATATATATATATATATATATATATATATATATATATATATATATATATATATATATATATATAGACACACACGCGCATAAAAATAATAATAAAGTTGTTATTAATTTTTTTTAGTTGCTTTACTATGGAAAAGACTATCCCTTGGGTTTTGATTACTTCAAGCCAAAACTTAAAAATGCATTTATAAAGAATAAGCATGTCACAGATCAAGTTGAACTAGAGAAATTAATTCAACGTGCAGAGTATGTTATAAAAGAACTTGAAGCATTGTTCATGTTAAGGAAGTACCGTGCTTTGAAAAGTAGATATTATGAATAATATAAATCAGAAGATTGTCTTTATAAATCGAAATTTAATTATAGTATTTGGTGAGTTCAAAAAGTTATGTTAAGTGCTGTCACGCCTAAATATCAGGTTGTAGTTGAAACTGCATTTTTAAAAGATGTCATCTCACACACCCTATGTATGTTCTATGTAATAAAATTACTTCAAGTTCAAGAAATTGTCTTTTTTTTTAAATATTTTCAAGGGTCGCAATAGTCCCATTAACAATTGATAGTTACCTCCATATTATCACAAAGATATTGTTTTAAAATTGTCAAATGTAACTTTAGCTTAACAACTGCCGTTGCAATAGATTTTTTTCCCTTTGCTTCTATAAGCATACACTGTCCATTGTATGTCCCTACAGGGCCGGCGCTAGTAAGTATCACGTGGGGGGGGGGGGGGGTGCCAATACGATTTTGCGGACATAAAAAAAAAGTACTCGTTTTTTAAAATTTGCCGACTCGTTAGACTTGTCGACATTTGCCGACTGACTGTTTAAATTTATAGGAGTTTGTTATATATATATGTATATATATATATATATATATATATATATATATATATATATATATATATATATATATATATATATATATATATATGTAAAATTCAATAAAAACGGCTGCGTATAAACTTTTTAAAATATATATATTTGTTTTTATTTTAATATATTTTTTCGATATTTCGCTGATCACAATAGATCAGTGAAATAATTTTATTATTATCGTATAACAAGAAAATGACTTTTTAAGATTATATATATATATATATATATATATATATATATATATATATATATATATATATATATATATATATATATATATATATATATATATATATACAGTGCTTCCAGAAAGTATTAGCGCACTCATTTTTTTTTTTACCTCAGAGAACTTTAAAGGATTGTAATTCAAAAACAATAAAAGACTGATTGATAATTTTTTTTAACTAAGTCATAAAATTATGCAGAATTACTAATTGTTAAATATATAAAAGTATTTCTTTATTATTATCTTGAATTTAATTAAAATACAATAAGAGTGATAAAAACAATAATAAAAAAGTGTGCAAAAGTATCAACGCACTTACAGATTTTCAAAGATTTTAGGAAAGTTTAATATTTTATGTGACCACCTTTGTTTTTAAGGCATGCCAAGACTCTACGCGGGATAGAATCTATAAGTTTTTCGATTAGTTCTTGTGGCATGGTATTTCACAACGCTTGCATTTGCGTTTTGAGCTGCACCAAGTTAGTGGGCCTGCTTTTTTGTAATTTGCAGTCCATCCAACTCCAAAGATTCTCAATAGGAATCAAATCAGGTGAGCGAGCGGGCCAAGGCATCAGGTTCAACCGTTTTTCATTCATGTATTGCTTAATTGAGCGTGCTGTGTGGCAAGGAGCGCTATCTTGTTGAAATTGCCAGGTGGAGTCAGCTTTGAAAATATCCATTGATGGCCTTAAATAATCTTCTAATATCTCTCTATATCAATGTTGATTAAGGCGATCTGTGTAAAGATGCGCCAGGCCATTGCTAGATCCAGCAATACAGCCCCAAATACCAATTGAACCTCCTCCTCTTTGAACTCTTGACATGATAAAACGAGGATTATATTTTTCGTTTTTGTATCTTCTCACGACAACTCTTTTTTTGCGATTAATAAGTTCAAAATTTGACTCGTCTGAGAAAATTACTTTTCTCCATTGCTCTACAGTCCATGCAGCTCTCTCTTTGCACCATTTTCTTCGCTTGAGACGGTCTTTGATGCTTAGTAGTGGCTTCTTTGTTGCAAGGTATGAATTGAGTTGTTGTTTTTTTTTCATCAGCTTGCTAATTGTTGATCGGCTTACTTGATGTGCACCCATCGCTGTATTGAAGTCTGAGGCGATTTCAGCTATACTCATGTTCGGGTTGCGTCTAGCAAGCATAATTGCTTTATTTTTTTTCCTTTCTAACATTTTTTTGGGACGGCCAGAGCGATTTTTGTCTTCGACTGATCCAAACTCATTATAGTTTTTTAGCGTTGTTCTAACGCTGCATTCACTGATTTCAAGTTGACGTCCAATTTCTCGATTGCTGAGACCACTTTTGTGCAAGCCAACAACTTGCCACTTTGTTTCAATTGATATGCTCTTTAAACCTATATTTTTGTTGTTTAAAGTTTTAACTAACTGTATTTCAAATGATAAATCTGTCACTTCAACTTACGCTTCTTATACTTTTTATTGACTACTATTAATCAGCAGAGAGTAATTAACAAAAATTAACCAAAAAAGTTTTTCTCAAAGGAATTAAACAATTGTACTAATACATTTTAAATCAGTGCGCTAATACTTTTGCACGCGTAATTTCACACATTTTTCAGAGTAGTCATTAAACTTCTAATCAATTCATCAAAAAAACAGGTAGTTGTTATATATATATATATATATTATATATATATAACATGCGATAACTAAAAATCTGGACAAAATTAGAAATTGTATAACTTTTTAACGGAATGATCAATTTTAATAATTTAAAAAGTATAATATAAAAAAATATTTAAATAATAAAATTAAAAAAAAATTATGCCATGACGACGAACAGTGTCTACTTTTGTAAATGTTGCGGCAGCTAGCCGATGTACACGTTTTACGTAGATTTTCTTAATTTTCTTAAACTCGATCCGCTTTTTAAGTTTACCTAGATTTTCAGCTAGCCAGTTTTTATTATACACTATCTCTTAAGTTCAGACCAAAAATTTTCAATTAGACTTAATTCTGGCACATTAGCAGGGTTATGCTCTTTCGGTACAAATTCAAAATTTTTAGCTTTTAGATAACCTTGCACTTTACGCGAATAATGTGACGAAGCTAGATCAGGCCGAAAGACAATATTTTCATTTTTATGATGTTTTTCAATGATTTTTTCTTATCTAACCAGACATTTTAAAATATACACATCTTCATTGACTGCTTGGCCTGACGGAGCAATGTACTGCTGAGAGATTCCTTTCGTTGAGAATGCAATCTAAACAAGTAGTTTTTGCAATTTTTTAAAAATATTGGTGTTACTCAAATAAAAATACATTTCATCGTCAATAATAACTACTTTTTTCCTAAAAATCGAAACCAATCTACGGCACTTTGAATGAACAGCTGCTTTTTCGGTCGGTGTTCTTTAAGGTGTTTTAGTTTTTTTTAAGATAACGAATACTAGTTTTTTTGTGAATAACTTTGCATTTGTTCGGTTGTGATACATGGTATCGTTTTGCAAGACCACGCTGTGAAATACTATCCTTTTGATCAATCGTATTTTTAAGACGCTTTATCTCTTTTGCAGACATCTTTTTTGCTTTGCGACCACTTCCAAGATTTCTTTCTGGTCGTATATTATTCTCCTTTCTTTGAAGTATATTATAAATAGTAGATTTTGGTATGTTCTCCATTCGAAAATGATTTACAATAAAGCTTTTATTCTTATCTGGATGCAAAACCCAAAAATGCGTACACTTGTTTTCCAAGGGAGTCTTTGTTACTAGTCTTTTTTTTTCATTTTTAATTATTACTAAATAAATTTTTTAATAATGCATTTAAAGAATTAAATTTGTAACAAAATAGAAGTGATTGCAATTATATTAAATTATTCCTTCATATTTTAATATTTACTCAAACTTTGTCCAGATTTTTAGTTATCACATATTATATATATATATATATATATATATATATATATATATATATATATATATATATATATATATATATATATATATATGATTTAGTTATTATAAGACTGATCAGTCTTATCAGAGAGCACCGCGGAAGTGCATTTAGCCAGGAAGTTCACGCCTCCTTCATTACTCATATTGCTTAATGGGTTAGAGCTGGCTTCAAATCACAATTCTGAGCCAGAGTAGCCGTGGCACAGTGGTTAGACCACTGCGCCACGGCTGCTCTGTATAACCATAGCTGCCTATCTAAGAGGGTGCTGCTCTGTCTAGCCATGAATAATCATAAATGTTTAATTTATGTTAAATATGATCAAATTAAGGTTACTCTAAAAGTGTTCAAGTTTTTAAGTTAAATTGGTTTGTTATTCTCATGAAATAGGCTTCGACCTCCAAGAGCGCGACCCAGTATAAACTAAACCTCCACGATCCAGTGCAAATAGGGTTGATAAATTTATTATTCCGCAAGACACTCCATAAAAACATTTACGACCAATTAAAAGTAAATATATATAAATTTTTGGCAAGTTGGTTAGGGTTGGCCTTGACTGAACGGTATACTCTTTTTTTTAAACTCTAATTTCGTCGCTGTCCTTGCCTTTAAACATGAACAAAGTATCCGTTAATTCGAAAGACTACCTGTCAAACCCAAACGATGTATTATAGGTGCCAATCCCTATTTAATTCAATCAATGTATTTACGCTCCGCTGTGCCTATCTCTATATATCCGCTATATCTATATATTAGCCCAACCCATTTTGACCCTCATGAACAAATTTTAATAGGCGTAGTGTCGTAAAATATTCCCAAGGTATTGTTTTCTAATGAAATTTTTTTTTTATTATTTTAAATGACTACTTACACTCGCGCCACTCTTTTAAAGTTTTAAAATTTTTACATTTTTTTTTACGATAGCATCATTTGACCGAGATCACAATATAAAAATAATAAAAAGTTCTGTATTCAAAAACAAAGGGTCCGAAAAGGTGTACAAACGGAAAGAATAAAAGCTGAAATCTTTCAGTAAAGACCAGTCACTAGGTTTTGACTTTACTGAAAGGAGTAAAGACCACTAGGTTGTATATTTCAACAGACTACCAGTTAATTTTTGATATTCTTAGTCATAGTTTGAAAAAATGTCTACGGATGAGACTCTCTCAGACTTTTTGGGTACAATGAATTCCAAAACTTCTAAAGTCTTTCAAAGTTGCTAACAATTCATCAGATCTCACAGCATAATCGTAAATCTATTAAGGATAGTTTAAGAAACTTATTTCTCAAAACAAGAAATATATTTCTTGTTTTTAAAAATAAATTGCAGGGTAGAATATTTATTTCTTGTTTTAAGAAAAATATTTCGTAATAAAAAATTCAATTTTGCTGTGCTTACAGTAAAAAATTTTCAAGATAATGTAGAGCGTGTAATGAGCTTATAGCTTCAGAATGAGCTTATAGCTTCA